CATTTTGCTAGAAATTTATCAATTCTACAGAAAATAGTGATTCATCGCACCATTTTTCAAAATACAATTCTGAATTCATAGAACTTTTCTACCTTTCTTGATCCAAACTAAACTCTTTATTGCTGCACTCTTACCTACAATTACTGATAATGGCAAAACAGAATTTGGTCAAATAATCAAACAGCACTGCAAGAGCTAACCATTTCGAACATGGGAACAAAACAGATGAGATTCACGAACAGTGTTGTGAAATGCAGATATGGAAAAGCAGAGGAATCGGTCGAATGAAGTCCTAAGTCACGGAATCACAACAAGTTAAGTACCTGATGTTAAGCTACAGCTAGATCACAAATACCGCATGAACGCGAACAGTGTAATGGTTGTTGCCGATGATAAAGCGATGAAATGGAACACATTCGCGTCACGCCTTGTAGAGCCATGCCGAAGCCTTCTTTCCTCATTTTTAATCTCCCTTCTTAAACTTTAAGACTTATGCCTCACTCCCTGATCTTCCTAAAAGTACTCACTCTAACTGAAAACAAATTATTCGCAAGTGTAGCTCCACTGACATTTAAAAACAATTAAACCCATCACCCAGTAACGAATAAGATACAAGACCTGCCAATTAAGTGTTTCAATTGTTTGAAGGTTGTTGGTATTAGACGGCTGTACGTCTCCCTTGCTGTCTATTCCCCACATCCATACTACTACCGTAATCTCCCGTAGAACTCTTTCTCTCTCCCCCTCCTCACCATACTCACACATGTATATATAATACACACCCATACACCGTTACGTTACACCTCTCATCGAGAAATCCCGATGTGGTACCTAAAGCACCACTGAGTATGCAGAGCTGCGACAGGAATCATCTCAGCCAGTCAACTATTGTTTATAACACATTACTAGAATAGGTAATCATTCGACAGCTTCACCTAAACATTATTGCTACACCACTGTAGGTATTACATAATCCTTCATTGTGTATACTGAAGTTTACCAACCTACCAAAGGCACCACAGCATAACCCAGGGCGGGTTATGCTGTGGTGGTGAAAAAGCTTCGATTTGCAGGGGTTTGTAAGGACTCAAATTTTCCGGAAACACCGATCACAATGGTTGCTTTCTTTTTTAAACGCACTTGCTACAGCGGAACTAAATGAGTCTGCTTAAATACAAAGTGGCCGATTTTCAAATTCCAAGATTGCAAAATACACAGAAATCGTTCTCTGCAAAATGCTTCTCCATACAATCAGATGGAAAAAAAAAAACCTGTCAATACTAACGGCCACAACAGATATGAGGAATGAGGCTAAATGTGGTCCTTCAATTGTGGACATGAATGAAGGATGAGACGAAAAGTTCAATCCTTCCCAAGTTTTAGGACTAATTCATTATTATCAACAGTTGTAGAATTAGTCCCTTATGAAATCGTCTTCCTTATGAGTAGAGCGCATAATAATTGAGCCTATGACTCAAACTTGTCGGATAAATTGGACAAGAAATAAATCACATCAGTGCTTCAAACATTGCTGATTAAATGCCACCATGGGAAAACGTCCACATTAAGTCCATTTGCCAGTGAAAACGAATGCAACGATGCATAAATGCTGAAATATCTTTCGGAGTAAAACAATGAAGTATCGCTTCCTCCGATCATCAGAATAATTATCTGTCATCCAGGATAATGTAACACCTGGAGACAGCTCTATAATGTGTTGAATACGATCATAAATCAGCAACCCTCAAGGAGTTTACGTCAAATTTCCTTGAATAACCACCAATTTTCTTCAATTTCAATACTGTAATGGTTCAAATGAGAATTAATAATATTAAGAAATCAATTATTCTCATTGTGGGATAAATCAAAATTTCATGAAACAAGCATATTTTTTGAAATGAATGCGAACCTCTTGAAAAAAGTCTGGGTCAAATTTTTGAACTTTTGAACTTTTGACAAAAATAAAAGTAGGAAAGAAGTGGGAAAATTTCTGCAATAAGAACATACGTGTAATATTTGATAAGTGCTTCAATGCCAATAAATTCAGGTGGTTCTTCGTCACCACAATCTACATAAAGCAGATTTGTACCAAGATTTTCATCAAATCGCTCTTTGATTAGATAATGGCTGAAAGTGATAATAGATTTATAACTAATATTTTTCAGTAGTTTTCCCCTCATATTCCTTTTTTCTTTTCTTTTGTTCTCAATCAACTCATTAACTTGATATTTCATAAAATTATCCCTTTAGGATTAATTTCATTCCTAGTAATGAGCGTGAATTCCCAGCTAAATGATACTCGAGAGAGTGAATACTAGACTAATTTTTAAGCCAATGCTAAAAGATAAGGTTAACTAAAATAAAGTTGACAGATTGATATATTTGGCAAGACTGTCTCAAACTCTATTACATTCTTATTTCACCGAATATATCACACTAAAAGGTTAGTGGATTTCAGTGTTCGATGATTTGATCATTAGGATTCACTCTGATCGAATTCACTGATCTGATTGATTGGGTTGAAAGGTGAATTATCAAGCTATGCTGTCAATTATGCCCCAAACTTAATGATATGTAATGAAGAACTTACTGAAAATCACCACGACTATTCTTGTAAACAATGCATAATGACATCTTCTTGTCATTTATTTCATTGAGTGAGTGATATACCTGTCAAAATATTTTCATTTACCTTTATTGAAAATAACATCAAAATATTGAAATGTTGTACAAAGTGTTTAATTATCATGAAACTAAGCTAACATCTGATAATTGCTTCTAAGCGCATATTTAACAAACAATGACGTACTCTAAACGCAGTATTACGTGAAACGAATAATTCAGCAGTTTGTGGTCTAACGATTCCAATGTAGTATCGTTTCATTGGAAATGCTGAATTGTCTTCTGTGGTCTCGGACTCTTTTGTTCTAAAAGTAAAAAAGGCTAGCTACAGTTAAATACCAGGATGGTTGCAAGAGTAGCCTAATAACACGGTAAAGGTCAAATTTTCTGAACTTGTCACTGCTGAACCTCTCTGATCGGTGTATATTCTTACAGTACTGCTTATTATTCCTAGCTGATTGCTGTTTAATGCTACCGATATGGCAGTGGAGTGCAGTAGGCAAATGCAGTGGAGTAGAGTAGAGTGCAAGTCATTTACAGTGCATAAAACTGACTTGTTTGATTCTACCCTGACAACATTTCTTTCACAAATATATTCTTGATCCAGAAATCGCGTGAACTTAAAATCCGCAAATCTGAAATAGGGAAAGAGGTAATTCTTCTCTTCTCTCTTTCCCTCTCTCTCTCTTTTTACCTCTTTCTCGTTTCTTTTTCTTAACTTCTTTATCTCTTTTTTAGACCAAAAAAAAAGACAAAAAAAAAATTTACGACTTTGCGCGCTGTAATCGAAGTACGAGTGGCTCTTCTTCCAAAGAAATACTCTGAAATAAACGCATTCAACAATCCTCATCATATCGTCTTCATAGGAATGCATTTCAGGATCCGTTGAATGAGTGGATCCGGGATGGATCTTGCATTGGACAGTCCTGCGATCATCCATCGATATTTTCAGAGCTACAGAATGACAGTCTTCTAATATTCCACATAACTGATCTCTTAATCTCTTAATTCATTGGCGCTTTTAGTTGCAAAAATATGTTTGCTTCTTCTGATTTCGTTTATTGCTGCTATACGGAAATGATGTAATTTAGAAGAACGGAAGCCAATTCCGGAAATCACCTTGGAGGATTCTTCGCTTTTAGTTGAAATTTCCGATGACGTCGTCTTCAATGCCACTGAACACTTATGACCATGCACGCAACATTTCTAAAGGGTTTTCGTAAAAATTAAATATTGAATTTATCTTCGCAAGCATCCTCCTCAAAAAAAAAGAGTATTTCTTACAACGGGCCTGCTTGATTCATACTTCAATGGTTTGCATTTTACATTTGGAGTTGAAGCCATGCGATACCTTAAAATATAACATATAAGTTTGCAAACCTTAACTTTAAGGCTCGATTTGAAGTTTCTAGAAAGCCTAGGCAAATCTATAAAGTATCGGCGATTTATCATTGACATTAGCACCAACTTACTTATCACGTCGGTAATAATATTAACAAAATGAATCACAACCGACCGTTTACAACTTTTTGAAATAAGGAAAGGATGATGAAGTTGTCCGGTTTTATTCTCATTTAGAATTACTCGAATTTGATAGAATAATGGTATATGTGGTTCATTTCAAGTACAACTTCGAAAGAAATTTGACTGGTAAACTGAGCGCTTTTGGTGCTTGAAAGAAAAATCGCTACAAGCGCTAATGTCTTGTTTAAAAATCAAACAATAAACACTAAGTTATAGATTGTAACTTTAGCAGATTTATTTAATTTCAAATAGAGAATGAGTCCTTCCCATTAAAACTCAAAAATTTGCTCGTTTTTTTAAATGCGATTAATTTTATAAAAATTAATTTAATAAAAACTTCCTTTTTTTTCCTTTTGCAGAATCTATTCCTTGGAAGATGAAGTAAAATGATGACAAGTGGAGGTCATTCATCTAACACCCAACAGATTTTTAATTTTTATGGCATCAACTTTTTAACATTCAACATTAAATGGTGTAAAATTGTCGTAAATTAGAAATTATTCCATTTTTCTTGGATATTCTTTGTTCAGAAAAAAA